AAGGATTCAGCTAATTATAATCCAGCATCTACCTATCAGGAACATCACGGGGAATGTTCCCCCAGTTCACACAGAACTGGAGCAGTTTTTCTTTACAAGCATCAGAGATGTCTGCCTCATGTAACAGTTTGCTTAACTCTTAGTTTGGTTTCCAAGGGTAGGACAAACTAGAGAGCCAAAAACAGGAAAACAAAACAAAACAAAGAAACAAACCTCCTTCCTGTTCCTCTCTTTCCAAGGCAGTCTTTCCCCCAAGGACAGTTTAAATGTGGTAGGTACCCTGTAAGCCAGCTCTTGAAACTCTCAGATGCCGTTATCTGGGAGGAAATGCCACACTTTCCATTAGTGATGAATAGGCAAAGTTTAGAGGTACACTACTCTGCAGAAGTATCCCCTCAAAATACAGTAAACACCGTGGTGTCCAACCACACAATTGCCCCAATTTATCTATATGCAAAAGGTACAGACACACACAATCAATTTTCAGGTGTTATGGCCAAGAAGATTATTGATTCCAGTAGAAAGATACTTTAAGTTCCAGCAATCAGTCTGAAAACTGAAGGTGAAATCTCAGCCTCAATAGAGTCAGCAGAAGTTTTTTCCCTAGCGACTGATGGGGCCAGATTTCCTCTGCAGCACAGAGGGAACACGCTTTATTTTTAAATGTTAAGTAATGCATGTGAGACATCCAATGTGTTTAAAACTACACATTTCCCTATTACAACTATGACCTAATACTTATTCAGTGGAGATCTCTGGTGGAAATAAGTGCCAGGCACATGTTTTGTTGGTCAGCTGGATTTGTTGACCATTACATCAAGTTTTACTTTCAAATACTCTTGTGCAGTGTAATCCAATTAGGATTTAAAGCAACACTGACACTGTTGAATTATATAGCTAATAATAATAATAATAAATTATATATTTGCACAGATTATGACCAGGTCAGGTATTTCTAAGGCAGCTGCTCACAGTATTTTACACGAACGTGGGGGAACATAAACCAGGTACTTATTCCTTGTGTAGGCACCTCAGGCCCTCTGTAGTTGTTTCAACTCTGCTGATATGCGACTCCGGTGTGGTAAGAGATCTGAAGCTATTCTTAGACCATGGCAGAAAGCACGAAGTGGTTTGTTGGCAGGTCTTACCCACTATAATGAGAGCAAGTTGCTTCATTTGTTTCCCTGTTAGACGAGCAGTGAGAAGATTGAAAGTCAGAGCATAAATAAGATCCTCAGACTGGGAATGAGAACAGAGAATCAATCAGTTGTTGGGGAGGAACCAGTCAGTTCCTCTCCATCTCCCTTGCAGCAGTCCAGCCATCAGTTTACAGCATGTAAGGAGAAGAAAAAGAATGAATTATTTGCCAAACCACATTTTGCACCTCTGCTTTTGAATTCAGTTGTTTCCCTGCAGTCAAACACAGAAGCCTTTACAAACTAAACACAAGACTTGAGCAGGTTCACAAGGCACCCACTGCCAGACCTCAAAGGTAGAAAAGAAACAACAAGATGGAGACAATACTACCAGATAGTGGTCAGGGACTCCAAGGCAACTCCTCTTGTGTTAAAAGCTGTCAAGATGTGTTGGCACAGATGCTTCAATTTTTCATTTTTGTTCCCTTTGTGGATTTAATTTAACTTGGAAAAAAAAATGCTGAACTCCAAACCTAAACATTTTAGTTTTGGGTAAAAATAATACTTTTCATCTGAATGCAAATGAATTTCCCACTTTCTATTTTTAGGTCCCAGTAGCGAACTCAAGCACACAAGCCTTAAAGACTCCAGGCCACTTCCTCTATGAGCCAAAGTTCTCAGGGAAGGTAGAGATGCCTCACCATTGGGTTTGCAGGAGGGAAAGGAGCACAATCCCACCAAGGAGGGTCAGGGCTGCTGATCCCACCCAGGGTTACAGAGCCATGCTCTCCCCCTCCCCAAATTCAGCAACAGCTTTGACATTGGCCTCAAGCAGAAGGAACACTGGGCTCACATCATTGGTTTGCTCCCTCTCCTTTTCAATGCTAAGAAAAAAATAAAAATAGGAAAAAAAAAAAAAAAAGGCATCCAAAAAAGTGAGGCCTTTGAGTTTCAGCAAGCATGCAATACCACGGTCTAGTACGGTGTGACTGGGTGTTGGGGGAAATATGACTTCTTCCTATTTTGCATATAAACAGGCTAAGCAGCAGCTTCAGCCCTGATAGCTCATGCTGCTACAGCCCGTGAAATGCAGGATTCTTATGGGCTTATTTTTTTCATAAAAGTAGGGGGTTTATGCCTGTCTCAAGTGCTGTTATGCCTTGTGAACAAAAAAAATATGAAAAATCTTTCTTCTAAAGAGCTTAAATCAAAATTATGCATATATTATGTTTATGACCAAAAATATGCTCTATGTTAAAGGAAGCAGCAAAGAGAGGAATGAACAGAAAGGGAGGAATACGGGTTTTAAAATCCCTCCATACCACAGCATATGTAAACCCTCTCTTGTCACAATGCTAGTTTATATACTGGTCTGCTACATTAAAAATAAATCAGGCCACCTCTTTTTAACTTGAGCCTAATAAGGTGCACCATACATACATTTATCTGTAGATCACAGCCTGGCCTCGGAGAACAGCACAGTTTCTCTGCTGCTTAAAAAGACTGGGGCACCTAAAAACTAAATGCACACAGGGCCACGTCGCTACCCCAGCATGCTGTAAGCCAAAGATGTAACCCAACCCTCGGCTTTGCCGATCGGATTCACCCCACAACGTGACACCGTGCCACGAAAACGGCGATGGGGCCACGGGCTGACAGGCAGCACCAAACATGGAGAAGGTGGCACCGGATCAGGGGGACATAAACTTGGACAGCCTGGCTAGCAACCACTGTTTGCAAACACAACACAGGGGATCAGATGGGCCAGCAATAAATTAGGAGCAGATAGCAGAGAGCAAGAGAAATCACTCAAAATAACAAACGTAGGCAAAGAGGGCTCCCCAGCCACCCTCGGTTTCATTTTAGTGCCTGAACCCAGGTATGTGCATGTGCCAGCTCCCAGGCTGCCGAAGCATGATGGAAAAAACACTATCTGTCAAATGAAACTAAATAACGAGTGGTTCCAGCACCACTCCTCCAGCTCGGAAGCTTAATCGCAGCCTTCCTAAATGCTGCTTTATCCCATGCTCAACTCCATTTGACCCCAGTTTGAGCTCCACTTCAAAGAAGAGGAAGGGAGTTTAGGTGATAGGGGGAGCTCCTCACTATACACTCCCCTAGGTGAGGTTTGCTCTGATCCAGATGATCACTACATCCAAAAAGCTAAGGATTTGGGCCTTCTCTCTCCTCTGGCATGCTTCCAGATCTGCTGGCAGACCAGTTTGGGGAAGGGATTTCTGCTAAACAGGTCCCTTAGGTAACATTTCTCAGTGGTTGAAAACCAAAAATGGCCCAAGGACTCTCACAAGCAGTTGGTCAAACCCAGTGCAGCACCTAGAGCTGGAAGGTGGGAGAAAGGGCTGGCCAAAACCTGCCCACAGCACCCAACAGCTCAGTGCTGCCCAACTACAGCTCTGCAGCTTCATCTCCACCAGGATCTTACTTCAGGTACTGAAAAAGTACCAGTTCGAGGTCCATAGAAGCTTCAGTGTTTTCCCCTGTGTTTCTCTGAAAACACTTTCAGCATACCATTTTTCTGAGGACAGGAAGGCTTGTAGACTACAACCATCTATCTAGTTGCAAAGGCTGGAGAACAGAATGATTACCACCAGAAATACAGGACTCCAGCAACAATCTCCCTCTGCTAAGCACCTCGTCTCCCTCTTTTACAGATGAAGGTCACCACCATAACCCAAGAGACTCAATAAAAGCATATACGGAACCCACAGCAAGTATCAGAGCAAGTCCAGCATGACCATACACTTGCTGGGAGCAAGGAGACAGTTCATCAGTTTTAAGCTTCCACAAGAAACACCCACACAGAAGTATCTCACAGGAACCTTAGCTCCTATAAAGCTAAGAAACTCAGCTGAGGAAAGGGGATAAACTATCAGCCCAATCCATTCTCCTGCCACATTGGGCAGGTTGGAAGTAGTAAGCTGCACAGAAAAATATAAGCGAATTAAATACATACAGTATGAGCTAAGCAGCAAATCCCTCCATAGTTTCTCAGTGCCACAGCCAGTCTCTGCCAACCATGCCTCTGAATGGCATAAACACCCAGGGGAAAAGAAATTCAATCTAGAGGGCAGCATTGTTATAAATAGGATCTACAGAATGAAGTGAAGAAAGGGAACTGTCCTTTGATGCTGCCTTAATTGGTGGGGCTTGTTTCCACCAAAGCATTAAGAGATAAACCAAACACCACATTAAAACAGGAACCTTTACAGGAAAGCCATACACATATATAAACACATATACATGTAAACACAACACTTTCAGATCATTTTTTTCAGTATTTCCCTCTGTTCATTATTCTCACCTCATACCACCAAAACAAGGCTTGATTGCTCAAGTTTTGCTGACTGGTCCACGACAAAATGCCTCAGACCAAGTGACTTCCCTTGCCTTTCCTTCTCCAATCTCACTGCCCATCTCCAGCACCTATGAGTTCAGTTTTATGCAGACTAAAATAAGGCTGCTAAGTAAAGGTCAGTCCGACAAGATAAATGAGAACTAACCCCTCCTGGACCTCTGCTCCTTGGGCTATAAATACTCAGAACAAGCAATGGGGGAAATTCTTTGTCTGCACAGACACCAGGAAGCACGTTTCCTCCTCCTTCCAGTTCCCATCCCTCTTGCTACTCAAGGACAATATTCAGAGAAAAGCAAGCATCTCCCTGCTACCAGCTCCATAGTTTGTCCACAAACAGCATTTGCTTTGCCACTGGTGACTGGAGGCACGCAAGCCTCGCTAGAGATAAGCAGATGCTTTCAAGGTTCAGCCATCAGTGAGGCTGACAGCAGAGTGTACATGCTACAGAGCAAACCATGAGCCTACATGCGGGCAACGAGGAGAATTACCTTTTAGGACTAGGGGCTCCTTGCCTTCTCGCTTGAGTGACTCTAGCACTATGTGGAGTGGCTGGGAAGGCATTACTCTGCTTGGCTCATTGGTATTCTCATCATAAACTATGATTTCTTTGGAAAATATTCTCTTGAAGGAGTCCTTGCCTTCCCGGCAGGAGATCAAGTCCAAGACGGTGATCTTGCCCTGCTGGAGCCTTCTCCGGCTGATCTTGTCAGAACAGTTAATGTGGACAGCCCCTTGAATGTGGCTCTTATTATACTCCATGAAGGGCCTGCAGTCAATGATGACAGGCCCTTGGTTCTGTTGGTGGCTCTTGCTGCATTTGGTCATCTTCTTGGCCAGATCATTGGGGTAAATGATTTTGATGCTAGTGAGTTGCTTGGTGGTGCCCGAGACAGGGCTCCCCACCCCGCCCAGCGGGCTCAGGCTGCTGGCGTTCTCATTGCTGTTGACCATTTGGTTGGCAGGGCAGGCGGTGGAGGCTCCGGTGTGGGTGCTGCTGGTGCTCGCTTGAGTTTGGGCCTGAGTGTCCTTGTCGTACGTTGCCACAGTGCAGCAACTGGCACTGCTGCATCCACAACTCAGGGAGCGTGCAGAGCCGTTGGATGAGGGCATATACGTGAGATTAGCAGTCTTTAGGGACACAACAGCTGCGCCGAGCAGACTGGAGTGGCTCTCACAGGCAGAAGAGGCAGACTCAAGATAGCTAGAGTCTAAACAGAGGTTGAGATCCTGAGGTCTCACTGGCCTCGAAAGTGCCACTACTACCCTGTCGTCTAGAGGAGACGGAGGCATGAGGAGGCTGAGCACTAGCAAGTTAAGAAGAACTCAAGATCACCCTGCAAAAGAAAAAGTGGAGGAGAAAGAAGAAAAAGGTGATGAAAACAGATCATGAAATCAACATTAACCTACAGATGCGACAACTTACTTTGCCAAGACCCATTACCCTCAACCTAACAACCCTTTCTGACAGTAGTTGCTAAAAAGCCTTTTAAATCCTGCAGCAAATACTTCAGCTATCTGCATGTGCACACATGGCACGCAGAACACACGCGACTAGCCTGGATGTGCAGTTACACCCAGGAGGAGGCATTTGGCTACATGCAGATGGTGCTGAGCTATTCTGAAACCCCAGGCTGCAAGGCACACCACTGATAATGACAAGGGCACATTCTCTCATCCTGTGGCTTACTGCAAGGGAAGAAACTACTGGGCTGACTCTACTACAGGGAGGAACGCATAAGAGCTGAAGAGCTGAATGTGTCAGTGGTGATACACAACTTTTCCAGCAAGATGGAATAAAATTAGCTTGGGAACAAATTTCCTGAGACAATTACAAACTTGAACACGTGAGGCTAAACAAAAAATACCCAGAAGAAAAGGAGAAAATCAGGTTCCGGAAATCCTTACAAAAAGTAAGTGCACACCTTGCACTTCCATCCCCCTGCTAGAGAGAGAGACGAATTCAGCCCCAGTCAAGCCCCCTGCTCCAGGCCCGGAAAGGCTGCTGTTCTCCAGCAGTCCATGAGGCAAGTTCCCCGCTCCCCACCACAGTTGGCCGCTTCTACAAAAAGGGGTCCCCTCTGCCCCAATCAAGGTCACTGCCTGCCCAGCCTTTGCCTTCTGATTTGCTAAGACCCAGCGCGCAGGTTTAGAATCCCCCCATTTCCACTCGGGAGGGAAGGAAGACGACAGGAGGGAAGGAAGACGACAAGAGCAAAACAACCTAAGCCAGCCCTGACAGTGCCTCCCCTTCAGCAGCAACTTCGGGAGTAGCCGCAGCTCTCGCTGAAAAATACATCCCAGTACCAACTTCGCCAACTCCATCAAACCCCCGGAGCGGGGCGAGCGCTCGCAGCCCCACTTTGCCGCGCAGGCGGCTCCGCACCGGACCCGTCGGCAAGGGGCAAGGAGATGCCCCATTCACACGCCGGCGGGCCGGGGGGCACTGCCACCCGCAGAAGCCACCGCTGTACGGAGCGAACCCGCGGGCAAAGAAGCCGCGACCCGCCCGCCCGGGGCACGGCGGCGGTACCGGGGCCGGGCGAAGCGGGGCTGCCGGCGGCTCACCCGGGAGGCTTCCCAGCCCGTTCCTTCCCCAAACCTTCCCTCGCTTTTCTTTTTAGGATAAGAAAGCGGATAAAAGATCCCTGAGCGCCGTCGCCTGACGCAACTGAAAAATTTAAATAAGCGAGGGAGACAACCCGGCTCGCTCAGCGAGGGCAAACAACTGAAGAGCACACGAGAAGCGGGAAGCTGAAGTTTTGCCCCCGAGTGCAGGGAGCCGGGGCCGCCGCCGCCAAGCGATGCTCCCCTCGGCGGCAGACCCTGCGCGGGCTCCCGCAGCTCCCCGCTCCGCTCCGCGCCCCTCATCGCTCCGCGCCGCTGCCCCGCACTCACCGGCGCGGCGCGCTCCGGCCCGGTGCGCGGCGGTGGTGGTGGTGGCGGTGATGGTGACGCCGGTGCTGGTGGCGGCGGCCGCCGCTGGTGCCGGTGCGTGTCGCGCCCGCTGCCCCGCGCGCCGCCCGCACCATCCTCGTTACTTTCTCTTTTGCCACCGCGTAAATGTACGGCCCGGCGGGGGCGGGGCCCGCCGCGACGGGCGGCCGCGGCGGCCAATCAGCGCGCGGAGGCGGGCCCGAGGGGCGGGGCGGTGATGTCATCGGCAGCCAATGGGGAGGGCGCGACACCGGCCCCGCGCCCCGGGGCAGCGGGCGCTCGGCGGGGCCGGGCGGGGGCGGGAGCGGGAGCGGCAGCGCCCCCCGCAGGGCGGGGAGCGCCCCGGAAACACCGCCCGGGAGCGGCCCCTGCGGCGGGAACGGCCGCGAACGGCGCTCGGGAACAGCCGTGTACGCGTCCCACGGGAAGGGGCCAGCGAGACCGTCGGCTGGCGCCAGGAGAGCATCACCCGCGCGCCCGGGGCAGGGGACCGTGCTGCCTGTCCCCCACAGCCCCGCAGTGCCTCGGCAGTGTACCAGTGGCGCCAAAGGGAGGAGGATGCTTTCTAGGTGCTTTTCCAAGCAACCCTCCGCTAACAAAAACAAGCATGCATGAGATACTTGGAGTGGAAAAAGAGTAACTTCCCTGCACGGCAGCGATAAATCACGGGGAGGGCAGGAGGTGCGCCCTGGTCGCCGCTCAGAGATGGCCAGGCCTGGAGGTCCTCACCTGCCTGACCCCCAGGTTAAAGATGGATCCAGTTGCTCCATGTTATGGAAATTCAGCTCAAATCCAGCTTCTGGCACACTGTCCAGCAAAGATCATGAGTGCTCAGATTAGACTGGACTCTCCCAGTGTAAAAAGGAAAGCAATACAGGCTCGAGGACAAGATTTTAGGGATCTGTTACAAGGACGGGTATAAATCCCTTTCATCCTTTCTGGCAGGTGTTGACATGGGTGAAATAATGAGCTCTCACCCTTGCTACATGTGCACTACAAGGCAAAAGGTGAGAATTGATTTTCAAGCCATATGGATCAGCTCATCAAACACTAGGAAGGTACCTGGCAGCCGCCGGAGATTTTTGCACCCTTTCCTCCCCTGCTGTGCAATCTATTTTCACATTTCCTGGTTTGCAACCACATCTCACCATGTATCAGTCCATCACATATCAATCCACCAAGTCGGAGACAGGGAAAGGGCCATCTCCAGAGCAATGCATCCCACCATGTCCTCCCTGACCACAGGAGTGCCAGAGAGTTTCACCTGCAACCGTGAATGCAAACCCTTTGAGCTAGATAGAGGAGGAAGGGTGCAGTGAGGGCTGATAAGAAGTTGTCAGCACGATAACATTGAATCTAAATTAGCCCCCAAAGATTTTGTTTCTGGGATATATGGAGATAATTAGTTTTTCAACTGGGATTTTCAAGCTTTAACTACCAATCCAACTGCATCTATAGCAAAAAAATAGTCTAAATGCAGTAATATCATCATTCAGCAACTTAGAGCAAAAAAATCTCACGGAAACAGGTAGGAAGATTTCAGAAGCACTGAATACTTGGGTTTTTTTGATTAATGGTTCTAAGGTAAACAGAAAGTCAAATCCCTTTCCTCATAGCCATTCCTTAAACAATCAGCTGCTTTCCTCTAAATGTTCCTCTTTCGGACAGTGACTCATCCAGCACAAATTCAAGCTTTTGGTTTCCAGTGTTGTGATGCCACACCAGGGCACAGTTCTCCCGCACACTGGGAAGGAAAGCGGAGCCGGGAGAAAGCTCTCGCATGCAACAGCTTCACCTGCAGCAATCTGCTCCCAGTGAGGGCAATGTGGGCAAGGACTTGGAGCAATTAAGTCACAGAATGGCTTAATCTTCACACAGCAAGGACCATAATCTGGAGGTATTACCTTCTGAAAGCTTATAAAATGTAAGTCACCATGCTACCCAGCATAAAGGCAAACCAGGCTTCTAACAGTGGTGTGCAATTGCTGCATTAACAGTTGTCCTCCTCAATGAGAGAGCAAAGAGATCAATGGAGAAATGCACAGGTCTCAGACTCCACAAACATTGTTCAGTTCCCCAGAGGTGCCACTGTGAGACACCACCATAGCGTTTCCATGCTCTCCATTCCTCTTTGTCTGTGGCTTGCTGAGGTTGGCACTGGGCTCACTGCAGGAGAGGGTTAGCTCATGCCTCCCTCAAAACGTCCCTTTCAGGCCACACTCGGGCTTGGAGAAGGAGCTCCTCATGGGCTTGTGTTCAATTCACTGCTTGAAATGGTCCTTCCAACCAGGGGAGCTGGAAACCATGTTTCTGGGTTAGAGCATCTCCCAAAGCTAGACATCTCCTAAGGCAAATATTTGCTAGAAGACACTTGGAATCATTCATTTAGCAATCTTTTACTTTCTGACCAAACTTCTCAGTACTAACAATGTGTGCACCGAGGAAACGTTTTGTGACTTGTTTGTGGAGGAGCTCACCTCACAGAAGAGCTGTGCAGAGTTTACTCACAGCAAGCAATTCTCCTTTCTGAGCGATACTCAGCCTTTGCCAAGTTTTTTTACAATACAAACAGTCCAAATGTAATTTTGCCTCATATTTTACTTAACTTTTTATTTTTCTAAGAATGTCGACTCTAGGTTGCTATTCCTCCCTAGTTTCAGAGGATTTCCTATAGAACTTCTACTGACTTCATGCTTAATACATTTTATTAGCCTATGACATAAGATTGGCCTTTTTCCTGCTCTCAGAAACCACAACCCGTTGTGATTTTTTTTTCTGAGCATATTCAGTGAAGGCTTTCTAAATGCCTTTGCTTTCTGTAATTCAACACCCAAAACAGACAAGACTTATCTATTCCCTAAAAACTAAACTTCTATTTTCTGAAAAGCACACAAGAATTCTTACTATGAAAGCTGGCAGATTATAGCTAAATTCTCACTTCCAGCAGTAGCAGGACATGGGATTTTGACATTTATTTTCCTCAAATGCTTTTGCCATCATGATGCACTTGCTCAGATATTTGAAGAAAACCACAAGCAGACAAAGAGAAATCATCTCCGAATTGAAGCAAATCCTCACAAACTCTCACAGTATACTAATTGCATAAAATCCAATCAAACCCGTTCAACCTCACAAAAAGGGTAAAGATTGCTAAAAACACATGCTGAATATTTAACAGATGTGAAAAAGAAGCCATCAAAATTCTTGACAATAACACAGACATCCCTTAAGTGCTCTCAAACTAAACAGTTCCTTGTTATTAAAAGATTTCTTCCAGGTCAACCATTCTTCCACTCTACGATCATGGACTTTTTCTCTTGTTTAGGAGTAAAAGAAATCCATAATTACTTTTGCCAACACAGCCATGTACAGAGTTTGCCCTGCACCTAAGCAGAGAACAAGGTCAGCTATCCCATTCCAAGCCAAACATTCAAATCTCTGGAAGTTCCCAATTTTACTGGCAGAAATGGGAAGCAAGAGGTTGAGGGACTTGTCTAAAGATACACAATAGCTTATACTGTAGAGCAGAAAACTGGGAAACCTGGGGAAAATAAAGGTGCTAACCAGCACAATATTTTAAACTGCAAACCAGTATCTTGCACTTTAGCAGGTATCTCTTGAACTGGCTAAAAGCAGATTTCCTGGGGGCCAGACTGAACGTCTATGTGTTCACTAATGAAGTTTGCCCATTTGGTTTTTTAAGCACTCTTTGATTCTTGAAAGGTTTTAATGCACTGCATTGCACCTTCATTTGTCCTCCTTAGGAATGTCATTTCAGTACACAGGATAAGGTGAGAAACCAGTGGACTTTCTTTTAGCCTTTTGCAAGAAAAGCATACCCCTTTTTCTTTTTCCCTTTTTTTCTGAAGTCTGTCTTCAAGGCACCTTCCTCACTAATATATAAACTTCCCTCTTAACTGATCCTCTAGTACGAGAGAAAAGATAACCTGTTTTAGACAAACAATTCGTCTTCTCAGTAAGGGGGTGGGTTTAAAACCATGCACGAAATTAATTTATAAGGAAAATGAGATCCAGTAGTAAACATAAAGATGTATCCTTGTACTCCTGCTTGCTTTTTATGGCTTATCCCCAGTGGGGAAGCTGCTATAAAATGACCTAAGTGAGAAACTGCAACGCAACAGCTATTTGGCACTGTAACTCCACATAGGTGCTTTTGCTACTCAGTAACCAGCCTGCATGGGTTTGGTAAGACCGAGGTGATGCTAGGTGTCCCTTTCCTGGGGCATACCACAGGACAATTAGGGCAAGGAGGTCATAGCAGTGAACAGCATTCTTTAAACAAAGCAACAATGCAGGCAGTCAGACAGATGAAGTCAACCCCTATGTGCTGACCTCCATGCCTGCTCCAGTTTAGCTCTCGGTTGCTGCTGTGGGGCTGTGGTCAGATGCTCACCCCACAGCTGTTGCAGACATCCTTGCTTTCCTGGACCTTGGTGGCAGACCGCAGCTAAGACCACTGTGCAAGAACCCTGAGCTGCTGCAGGTGGGATGGGTTAGGTTGATGAAGTAGTGGACAAGCTAACCTGGGGGAATTTGCCTCCAGCAGTGCCATCAGCACCCCCTGTGACCCTTCTGTCAGCTGAGTGTGGGGACAGCTGAACACTGGAAGGAGTGGCAAGTGATTCAACACCTTGAAGACATAGCGCTCGAGTGAGATGATATGTGCTCACAGTCTTGTTTATACAATTTCATTAAACAAATGCAGCTACAGATTGACATTTTAATTCCTCTATATGACATTTACCCAAGGCTTCAAAATAAACATGTTTCCACTTACCTGGCAGTATATGCCACCTTTAAAGCAACACACAAATGATTAAATAGGAGTTTGCTTCAGTAAAGTCAGCTAGTTTTTCAAACCTGCCTGGGTCCAACTTGCTTATTTTTATCTAAGCTTCTCTAATCATCTCTGGCTGCAGCCTGGCCAGGAACCTCAGCAGGACAGACAAAGATTATTTTTTTTTAACATTGTGATTTTTTATTACTATGATTTC